AAATATTAACATTAATCATTAATATTAATGAATTAAGTTTTTAGAGGAAAACATTAACCATTAATATTAATGATTAATGAAAAACATTAACATTAATATTAATGGTTAATGAAATACATTAATTAATGTCATTAATTAAGTCCCGTTAAATTAAATGATCCACCCCCAATTTAAGGGTAAAAAGCAACACTTTTTCAGTGCAGAACTTCTCCCACACCTTACATGCAAAATGACCCGGGTCGGTTTTAAATTATAGAAGACACCTGGATTGAGCTCACTACGGTGTCCGTTCTTTTAATTTCTCATTAGTTGTTTAGTAAACGAAAATATACGGCAACATGGGTAAGAGGGTGTGGGTGGGTGTGCGTGAGCATTTTGTCTTTGTATCCACACTCACACTAACCCTCCACACCCACACCCCACCCACATCCACACCCACACCCACACCCACACCCACACTCACACTCACACCCACACCCACACCCACACCCACATCCACACCTACACCCAACAAACCACACATTTAAACGACTAAACTACATCGAACCTAAGAGATAATAAAGATGCATGCATATATATCACTACACTCGTCTAGGAAAGAGAAAACGAACATAACAAGGAGATGATCTAACAAGAAGAAAGGATGATATCATACGAAGAAAAGAAAAAATAGATCTAATCAGGACAATAAAGGATATGCTAAGGAAATAGGTTATATCACATATAGTGGAAGAAAGGAGATAGAACGGAAGAGAAGAATATGAATCGTAGCAGAACGAAAGTAAATGGTATGTGAAAGGCGGAGGTCGTAGCATAGGTCTTCTGTGAGAATAGACTAAAAGATTGCAAGTATTAGATGTCCAATTTGTTGTGTTGAATTTTTGTATGTTTGTAAATATACGATTGTATCTCTTGATTGATATTCGAATGTCATCGATTTAATGTAGTGTTCACCAAAATAAAAATATTGTGAATAATTGTAAAGTACAGCAAAAAATAATGGAACACTTGTGATACCGATTGAGCAACATACTGATGCATAAAAATCCTTACTTTTCACAAACTCAACTAATTTACTTGATTGTGGACATTTTATAAACATGACCGAAAAAAATACACTAGAAATTAATATGCCAATAATATAAAGTATAAACATCCAAATGTATAGAATAAACATCGGTAGTATATGTGTAAAACCATATGGAATCCATGCAAGAATTGGCACAAGGTAAAAATATGGAACAGACTTATGAATAATTGCTATGTAGTGCTTTTGAGTATTAGTTTTTTTTTCGTAATCGAGATTTCTTATTAATGAATGCTTCATTTGAGCATTGGATAGACCAATAACAACATTAGCTGCAATATAATTATGTATTTTATAACCAAATATATTATAGCATTTCCATGCTGATGCAGTTAAATATGTCATACACTGAGCTTGTAATATGCAATACCAAATGAAATGTGCCAATGGCCATAAGGATTGAAATAAATCAAATATGTCTATGTCAATACCGGCTACATTTGCCACAAATGTGGGCTTATGGTCTTCTGCATGTACTTTCCTATATAACATTGCGACCTCGACTGATGTAAACCATGTTTTATAACGACAGCGATTCCATATACGTTGAAGTAGTTGCAAACTTAATATTTGTATACATAAAGCCCAATACGGTGGAATAATAATTTCACCTTTAGGTATTGTGTATAATAATGAGTTTCCAGGGCCAAGTATTTGTGTATGTGTTTCATTCATGTTTCAAAGGTTGATCTGAACAAAAACTTTATTAACAGCTTTTTTCAAAAGACATCATATTTTCAATTGCATACTATAGTCCGTACAATTAAAAGTACAAGTAAAAATTTGATTTTTTTTCGTATTCATTTTCATTTCATGATGATGTGTCCTTCCGATTTTCATATACTATAGGCTGATATGGACTGGTCATATCTCTACCATTATAATGCTCTAGTACTCTTCTACCTATAGTGTATATTTCAGATTTTCATCTGTGTAGGGTGTGGGTGTGGGTAGGGGTGTACAGCTCACGCTCATGAGCGATGAGCATTTTCCGCTCACGCTCATATGAGCGCTCATGGAGCGTGAGTGTGTCTTTTAAAGAAAATACACTTGGGTCCTCATCTCCTATTATATGAAGATACCTTTAGCTCCTGATGTCCTATTGTATGAAGATACCCTTAGGCTCTCATGTCCTACTATTTGAAGATACCCTTGGGTCCTCATCTCCTATTATATGAAGATATCTTTAGGCCTTCACGTCCTGTTATTCGAAGATACCCTTGAATCCTCATCTCCTGTTATATGAAGGTATCCTTAGGCCCTCATGTCCTATTATTCGAAGATTCTCAAGGGAGAAACAGCAGAGATTTTGCTCATGAAGTCTGATGAAGTCTTGAAAGTCTTTGAACTCTTCTGAAGTCTCGTAAAATCTTTTCAAGTCTTCTGAAGTTTTTTGAAGTCCTTGCAGTCTCTTGAAGTCTCCGGAAGTTTGATGAAGTTTCGTGAAGTCTTTTGAAATCTTCCGAAGTCTCCTGAAGTCTTTTGAAGTCCCATGAAGTCTCATGAAATCTGAAATTTTTGGAGTATATTTAGTTCATGGAAAACAGCTCGAAACAAACCGAACTTTTCCGGTTCCAATTCGGTTCGAGCTAATAGAAAAATAGTTAATGCAAGCTGTATTTTAGTATTTTAATCGTTGACATTCACTTATTTTAATTACACATCAACAAATGACTTGTTTAGAAGAAATGAGAGCACTTGATTGAGTATATAAGATGACTTTTCAGACCTGAGAACTGGCACAGATCCAAACCGAACCGAGATCCTCCGGTTTGGGTTCGGTTCGGTTCGATTCAGTTTTCAAAATGTCGGTTCGGGTTCAGCTCGGTTCGGTTCCGTTCGTTTTCCAGCTCTGATGGGAAATTTAGAGAGAAACCAATGAAGCTGTCTTGTTTTCGATGGCCATATTTTAGCAGAAATATGAATTTTGGTTATTTCGTAAATCTGTAGGAAAAAATCGCAAGCTCGTTCGAACTCGAAAAACACAATAGTTAGTATTTGAACAGTTTTTTAAATAAATTTTTTTATTCTACGCCGAAATGTTTCATTAAGTTAATATCAATGTTATGAAGAATTTTATCCTTTTCCTTTGTTTGTTTCACTCACGTTAATCATCAGTCAATGAGCAGCTAGCCTTTTAGGTCAATAAGCAACAAGCCGTTTACATATGTATGAACTTACATTTGTTATTTATTGATCATGTCTATCGATGACCGATATTTCTATAGAACTAGCGAGAACCCGTGCATACTGCACAGCGGCATTTTTTTCTTTAGTGTACGACCTCAAAACTATAACCTTTCACTCGGTAACAGACACACAAACACTCGACATTTTGTACATAGAAGCCGTACGGTCTAATACCCTTATATCGCTAATAGCCTATGTAGCCTTAAGGCTTTACAGCCTTATATTTCTTGTAGGATTACGCGCTTATAGCCTTACCCCTTGTAGTCTAACTTCCTTAGAACGTCTCCACCTTATAACGTTCCTCCCTTATAGCCTTATCTCCTTATTGTCTACCCTCTTATAGCCTTACCCCTTAATAGCCTTACTCCCTTATTGCCTTACGCCTTTATAACCTTACCCCTTACAGCCCTACTCCCCTACAGCTTTACTCCCTTATAGCCTTACCGCCTTATAGCCTTCCCCTTGTAGCCTTACTCCTTGTAGCCCCACCACTCTATTACCTTGCCCCTTATAGTCTTATCCCTTATAGCCTTATTCTCTTATACCCTTACTCCCTTATTGTCTTAACTCTTTATAACCCTACTCCCCTACAGCTTTACTCTCTTACAGCCTTACTCCCTTGTAGCGTTTCTCCCTATAACTTTCTCCTTCTTATAGCCTTGTTGCTTTATAGCCTTATCCCTTAATACCCTTACCACGCTATAGCCTTTCCCGTATAGCCTTAATCCCTTATAGCCCTGCTCCCTTATTACCTAGTCCCCTTATAGCTTTACTTCTTATAGCCCATCTCTTTATTACCTAGCTCCTTATAGCCTTACTCTTTTATAGTCTTACTCCCCTACAGCCTTATCCCCTTGTTGCCTTGCCGCCTTATAGCCTTTCCCCTTCTTACCTTACTTCCTTCTAGCCTTACCGCTTATAGCGTTTCCCCTTATAGCCTTCTCCCTCTTATAGCCTTACCCCTTATCACTCGATCCCCTTATTACCTGCCCCTTACTGCCTTACTCCCTTGAGGGCCTATGGGTATCTCCATATAATAGCTCATGAGAACCTATGGGTACCTCCACAGGATAGCCCTTGAGGACCTATAAATACCTCCATACGATAGCCCTTGAGGACCAGTTACCCCATATAGTGGCCCTTGGCGCCTTCTCCTTATAGTCCTATTTGACCTTTAACCTTTAATCTTTGACTTGGCACAGAGAAACAGACGAACAGACTGACACTGAACATTATATACATAGATTGCCTTACTCCCTTCTGGGCTTGTGGGTGCTCCAATACAATAGCCCTTGAGGACCTATGGGTATCCCCATATAATAGCTCTTGAGGACCTATGGGTACCCCATATAATAGCCCTTGAGGAGACCTATGGGTACTTCAGGATGGCTCTTGAGGACCTATGGGTGCTCCAATACAATAGCCCTTGACACCTACCCATGCAAAAATTTTTGCTAATTTAACGAAACTTTGTGACGTGAAAATTCGTTAAAAATTTAACGATTAAGAATGTTACAATTTTGATCATGAAAACGCGTTAAAAGTGCGCAAAATTAACCCGTTTAAATGCGTTTTCAAATTCTAACGATCTTTTTTTCGTTAGACCAGTAAATTTTTAATGATTCTTCACACGTGAATTTATCGAGAAACGCGTGAAATTGTGTTAAATACGAAAGCTGATTAATATGTTATCCCTCAGAATTTTTCATACATTCTTATTTACTGCAAGTATGATGAACTTCCTTCAATAATCAATATCTTGCTTAGTTCCACTCGTTTGAAGAGAAAAGTCTAGCTAATCAATTCAATATTGGATGTGCTTTCTAATAAGATGCTTCAGAAAACATTGTTATCACTATAAATATTTCGTAACAGGCAGCAAAACCAATGAGGAAGTACAATATCTTTTTTTTATTTTGTCGATATCTCGAAACTGAAACTATTTATGGCTTTACTTGCTACAGTTTTGCATTCTTGTATGTACCAGAAATGTATTTCATAGTCAATAGAAATGATAAGACTATTACTAGTTTAAAACCTAGGATATCGACAAAGTAAAAAAAAAATATTGTACTCTTTGATTTGTTTCGCTATCAACTATAAAATATTTTTAGTGATAATAATGTTATATTAAGCATCTTATTAGAAAGTACATCTAATATTGAATTGATTAGCTGGATTTCTTTCCTCAGATGAGTAAAACTTAGCAAAACCTTGATCATTGAAGAAATTTCATCATATTGGCGGTAAATAACAATGTATGAAAAATCCTGAGGAGTAATATATTTATTAGCGTGAACTGTGGAAAGACAGATTACACGAACTAATATGATTTAATTATCCTCTTCCTCTTAACTTAGTATATCAGTTTACATATTTAATAGAGATGAACCAGTCATATTTTTCATATTAGATCTAGATTCGATAAGCGAAAAACTTAACTCAGTTCAACTCAATAGTGTAAAAGGGAAATTTATATCAATACATACTTATATAGGTGGCATCTAGCTCGAGTGAGAAAATTAAAATATCACATGTGTGAAAACGAATGCAGCATTTAACGATATATAATGAGTTAGTTACCATTACAATGACAATCACGCGTGAAAAATGTGAAAAATCTGATGTATTAAAACGAATTTTCCAAATCTAACAAAAATTTATGAAACTTTTCTTCGTGAAGCTTCATTAATTTGCCTTTTAAGGCAACTTTTGGTCTTAACTGGAGCAATTATTTCGCTAAATTTTTTTTATCATTTGGAGCAGAAATGATGATGTACGAAGTACAGAATTACATTCCTTCAGATATAAAACCCATAGTGAATCTTAAAGAAAAAAAATGAAAGAGGATTATTTTTGTCTAGGATTAATTCAAGTCGTTTTGCTACCGATTAATACAAAATTGAGATTTCTCTAAAGTAGAGTTTTGCTTAATCTGATAAAAAGCTTTTGATATCTGGATTGATATAGTTCACAGACACACTTGATATTTAGTAAATATAAGTCTTTCAAGATGATTTTTGTGTAATGTGCATAAACAAATATGTTACACAAAAAAAAACCATGAATATTGTACGCATGAAAACGATTAGTAGATTGAATGATGGATAATTAAATGACGTTCGTTAAAATATTTCACTCATGAGAACAGTTACTAGATTTAACGAAAATCAATCAGTTAAGTTTCGTGAAAAATACAGAAATTCATGAAAACGCGTCAATATGTTTAATGCATGAAAATGAATACCAAGTTTAACGAAAATTTAACATGGTAAGATTGGTTAAAAATAAAAAAACTCAAGAAATATCGTTAGACTTCTTAATGCGTGAAAATGAATGCAACGTTTAACGATATATAATGAATTAGTTACAGTTAAAACGACAATCACGCATGAAAAAGTGTGAAAAATCTAATGCATCTACACGAGTTTTCGAAATATAACGAAAGTTCATGAAATTTTCTTCGCGAAATTTCGTTAATTTGT